GGCTCAGATGTCGGGAGTAAATGACGACTGCTATGTTCATTATTACATCCAACAACAGAACACCTCAATCGCTTATGAGTCAGTCTTGTCTACATCTGCTCCGGTGGTGAAACAATGGTGGACTGATGACAGCTCACTCAGGGCGGGTCTAAGGTAAGACGCTAGTGTCAATCAACAATCGTGGGAGGGGCCTGGGTCAGTGTGACGTCACACAGCCAAGAATCTGTGAACGGCTTGATTTGAGAAAGGGGTAATGATTTTAGTAGATAAAAAAAAAAAAACACTGGGTGGATTTTTATCATTATAGGGTGGTTGTGTACACACACTGCCAACACACATTTATGTTCAAACAACATGTAAAAGTGCATTTCGCATCCGATGACCCCTTTAATACAAATATCAAAAACATAACAGTAATAGTAACTGTGAATTCAGACAGTATTGCACATTTTTATATGGCATTACATACCCAATGAGAGGGAATGTTTTATTAACTATTTAACTTTGGTGCTTGTGGAAAAAAAAGGGATGTATAACAGTACTTGGTTCAACTTGTATATATTTTGTTATACATGAATTTACTTTACTACATCAGTTTGTTAGTAAATTAACTTTATACCGTTGTATACGGACGTACTGTGTTGTTATTTGTTACTATGTCCTTTATAAGAGAACACTATATTTAGTATTGGCTGAATGAGCTTGCTTGGGATTTTTTTCCTGACTGTTCTCTTTAAATGGTTTTTGTATTCCACTACATTTATTGTATTGTGCCTTGGAATAATAATCATGCGTTTGATTGTTGTATTCTCATCTGTAAGTCATTTGGATAAAATGATCTGCTCAATGAATAAACGGTCGCATACAGACATACTGCTGCTGGTATTAGTATCTGATCATGTCTGTCCTCTAGTGGACAAACACTGATTTTGCTTAAAAGCTGTTCGCAAGTAATGCATAACAGATTTTAATGTACTGTCATGATCACCACTGCACTACATTTCCCACAACCCCTCCTGACTCTTATCTGCACGCACTGCATTATATATTGTAAAGATCAAACTAATAGCCAGATGGAATATAAACTGAAGAGCAGACTAATGTTCACATTTATTTTTATGACCAAGAGCATGATTGTGGCCATTTTTAATAATAGAAGCTGCAAGTTATTATAATACCAGGCAGTGAGAGCAGTAAAACAATAATAAATAATATTAAGAAAGAAATATTAATAAAACTGTCATTAAAAAGATTTAAGGTTATTCATAACACCATAAAGGTACTAAATAGCACTTTCAAAACATGGTTTTTACGGCACCCTATAAAAAGGGTTCTGCTATTGTTTCCAGAATCATAATCCGGAATCGTTAAGAGCCATTTTTCTTAAGAGTGTGTGTTAAGGTTTGGCCTTTAATAGTATTAGCCTACCCGTTTGTCACTCCTTGGCTCTTCAAAGAATGTTATCAACTCATTTCTGCCCCCATGAGCACAATGACAAATACTTCAAACAAAAGTTTGCTCAATTGCTAGTTTAAGATGCTGAAATTAGACTAAAGACAGATTTGCATAAACCAGCAAACGTTTGTATTAGGATGGCAGGACCACAGTGACTCCTTACTGTGTATTTAAGGATAGTTTCTGCAGTGCTTACAGTGGGTGGCAGTAATGCTCTTTGCTAACAGGCGTTTCAAAAGTGAAAGTTTTCTGTCAGACTCAGACTGTTTGGGTGTGTTGGTAAGAAAAGGACAGGACGGGAACTCGAGTCAGGATCATGATCTTGAATTCTGCAGCAATATGAAGAAAGTGTTTTTATTTGTTTCTTTCGTATTATTTTTGGACGGTAAGTTGATTTCGGTTTATTTCTTCAGTACTTTCGGTTTCATGTTGTTATATCTTGTGCATGAATGGAACCAGCAGAAGAAGCGAAATACAACGAGTCTCGATTATTAGTACAAATCGTGTATTTATAATCTCAGAAAAAGTTCTACCAAGCGCAAAGTCTGTGATTCAAAACAGATGAATGTGCGCTCCCCCTCTTTGTGATAGGCTATTGATAAAACGGAAATATTCAAATGAGGAAGAAAACAATTTACTAAGAAACTTAATAACTGCGAAAAACACAGTTTGGGTGGATGGGACAGCATCATTTTGGTTGATTGGGACAGTGCTTAAAGGGCTTTGCTAATTAAGAAAATGATTTACCTTGTAATGGAACCATGATTGTATATGATCTGTGTGCCCTAAATCAGTGGTTTCCAACCTTTTTATTTATGCAAGCCCTAATTAACCACAAAAATATTCATGAACTAGCTAGATTTTTGCTAAAATAAAAATACTGAAATAGAAGCATTTTGAAAATAGAAGCATTATAGATAAACTTTTTAAAAACTTTTTAAGACTGAATCTAGTAATACACATATTTAACTATTCAAAATCTTTATTGGTCCATCTCGGGTAACTTTATTAAAACATTTTTTACACATTTTTTAAGTGGAAGATGGATTAATTTTTTTCAGTCCTGTTACCAAAACTCTTATGTCTTTTAAAAAGCATGTTTTAAAATATGTCAACAAATTCCTTCATTTTCCCCTCAGGCACGTGTTTATTTTGAAGAAATTGTTGGTTTGATCATTAAAAAAAAAATCCCTATTTATCTACACAAAGTGTATTTTTCTAAAATACACAAACCCATTTTTTTATTTATTTTAAAGGCGACTCAAACCTCAAGCTTATCAATTTTCTATGATGCAATTTATTAAACAATGGGATGAATGATGGACCAAACTTAATTTTAAAATATTGGTTTAACCTTTTTTTTATTTTTTTAAGAAAAACTATTTAGTAACAGGAATGAAACTGGGTAACAGGAATGAGTATCCATTATATGTGTATATATGTATATAATGCCCGCACTGATATAGTGAAAGTGTTGAACATTGAGAGCTGACCTCACTGCTAAAAAAGGCTAAATCATGTTTCTATTTAAATCTAGTGGTCTGCAGAGGTTTTTGTTAGGGTTATGTTTACAGGTAGGGGGACGGGTTATGAGATAAGATATGCATAACGAAAAATAATAAATATTAAATAAAAATGTATATTAAGAATAATGCCTATTCAGTTTTTCTCTGGATGTTGTTTTCTTACAGCGCAGTTCACACTCAAACACCATTCCATGTATGACGAGTCTAATATAATTGCCACAGGACAGAAATTTAGGTGTTAGGGTAACAGGACTGAGTGAAAACCTGGGGACACGACTAAAATGTGTATTTGATCTAAAATATTATAGATTTATCTTGAAATAAATGTATTTAAAGCACAGGTGGGATATGGAGGTACACAAAAATGCAAAATAAATATTATTTTAAACATTATATTTCATGTTAAAATGTAGCGTTCAACACTGGGGACATGTACAAATGCTATATTTTCAGTGTTTTAGGTAGCTTTTAATAATTTAATAAATTTTTTAAATTATATATTTTACATTTGCAGTTAGGTAAATATATAGGACACTTTGCTTAATAATAAAATGTATTTTATAGTAAATTGTTATGCATATTTGTACATATAATGTCCTAGGGACAGAAATGGCACCCATTCGGTGGAATGGCCCTCATATTTGGTCATATATACTCGTCTTGAAAACGTCAAATAAACATTTATATCCATTTGATTTATTCTCTGCTATTTGTTAAAAGTCTATTCCCTGAGCACATCACAGTTTCTGTGACATGAAAATGTCTCTAGTTTGCTTATATGTGTTTGACATTATATGATGGGAATAATTCTGTCATGTTTAATATTATTATGTATTGTTTTGTGGGCTGTATTAACATCAATTGGCATCATCCTAAATGATTGATTGCAGTTATAATGTAGTTTACTGATATTAAAAAAATTAAGTAGCTGTTTCGGTTTGTACTGCAGGTGTGTTTGGGGACATGGAAAAAGTGTCAGTGAAGGAGGGAGATTCTCTCACTCTACACACTGATGTCACTGAAATACAGAGAATATTTTTGTTGATGTGGATGTATGGATCTCAAAACAATATTATCGCTAAAATTGATGGGAAAACGCAGATAGTCTCATTATATGATGTTGATGATGG